TTTTAAACCCCAAATTACCCATTTTGAACTCATTCTCCTAAATTCCCAAAACTTGACCAAAGTAATCCTCTCAAATTCTCTCTAGTCTAAGGAATAAGAAGAAGAGGTAGGGTTCCATTCAATTCTCCATTTTCTTGGGCTTAAAGAATCAAGGTATGTTACCATTCACCTATGGAGTCATTTCCTCCATAGGGCTCTTAAATTCTCCAATTTTATGAAGCTAGATTACCCAATCAAAGTTAGGATTTTATTCAATGTTTATGGGTTCTTTTCAATCTTGATCAAATTGATTGTTTTCTATCTATTTATGCATGAATTGAAGTAATTACATGTTTGTGAGTTAATCTCATATGAACCCATGCACGCCCCGTGAATTTTAGACTATGAGCATATGATTAAGTTTATGAACTATGAATTATGAATCCATGAAGATATGCATGTTCTTTCTATGGAATTGACATGAATGATTTAAGGTTTCTTTGAGAGTAAAGCTTCGATATTGTTGTTGTGTAAGGTTATTCTCACGTGAAGGATTCATAAGGTTGAAAGTTTTTCTCAACTAAATTTGAATCAAGATTTAAGAGTTATTCTAAAGGAACTCTAGCTTGGATTGGTTACTTAATTCTGTCTTTCCAGATGAATACAATTATTGTCGATTCTTTGAGATTTATGCTTAGCACCGAGTGCACTAGAGGCAATTACCCATGTCCCACAACTATGTGCCACAATAGGTTTGTCTTAGATAGACATTAGCTAGTGGATCCACTTTAGCTCAAGTTTATGGTTCTTACTTTGGCAGGTAAGGACATCTCTTTTCGGTGTGGGATAAACACCAGATTCCATGTTATAGCTCACATGGTCTATGTCTGTTAATGGCCAACTTCCCATAATAACGAACTAAGGTTACTTTCTAAAAGTATCTAAAATGTGTTTTAAAGATGTTTAGCTTGCATTGACCAAGGTTATGACTTATGTTTTCTCACATGTTATTTTATGATTTAGGTTGGTCATTGCATGTCATGTAGAGTCCCTCTTAGCATGATTTCATAGACCTTATGCATTGCTATCATACTTAGTACATTCCATGTACTAATGCATACTTGTGCCTGCATTGTTTCACTAATGTATCCTACGCTCCTATTCCGCACACCCGTGGCTAGTTGATCCTTTTGGGTTTTTGAAGATTGGTGAGTCCTCATGTTCTGAGGACCGAGACTCTTTTATTGCTTTATGTCATTTTTCATTTCAAACTTGTATGTGATATATGAGTTACGTCCTAATCACGTTCCTTATGATGTACTAGATGGTTTTGAGACTTAAGTTAGACTTCTGCTTTTGTCTAACTCTTTATGGTCTAATGTTGTCTTTTGAATTCTTTAAATTTTATTATCTCATATGATGTATGCCAAGCAGATTTTGTAGGGCTTCTTGAGGTTCTATATGTCATGTTACGCCTAGGGTATACTTTGGGTCATGACAACAACACAAAATAAAGTGAAAAGAAAATAGGGTGCACAAAAGATTGAATCAAAAATCAACTAAAGGCAGTCGCTAGCTAGTACCCGATAACGATACTATTTTTTTGATAACGCTCAACTCTTCCTTGCGTTTAAGGCATAGGTAGTTGTGTGTAAAAATAACATCCAATTTATGAGGTCGTGTCGAACCACAAGAACCGACAAAAAGAATTATGCTTCAATTGATTCGTTAATTCTATTCTATTTAGCACAATGTTGTCTCAGGCATGCATACACAGAACTGGGGAGATTTGGAAACACAAGATTATAATCTAGTATAGATAACAAAGCCAAGTATTCAACACAAATAAGCTTTGCCAAGTTGGAGATGACATAGGGTGTATGCATTACGACATGGTTTCAACAAAATAGGAATGATTAATCAACTTCAAATTAGTGAATACATAGAAAACGCTTGGTCTATACTATACCCTCTATTCTCTCTAACTAGAGGGTATGCATATCTTGGGTTCTTTCGAACCCCAAGACCAATACAATCACGACTCTAAACATTGCCTAAGTGAGTTGGACTATCTTTAGCTCTACCCTTAAATGAGAAATAAAATCATATTAGATTATTTCTAGCTCTAATTAAATTTCTCAAGTCCTCACTAATGAAAATTTACCCAACTCTATTTTGCTTTCTCAAGCCAAAATAATGTTAGAGAGTTCAACCAATGTTTGCAACCATTGATTTTTAGAACAAAATTATAAGACAGACAATAGATTTATGTATAACAACTTATTTAAGAGCTAACTAATCACTACCCATTAAGTTTTACACCCACATATTTGCATACACGCCTTTAGATACAAATTTAGCTACTTATAAATAAATACACAAATATTATAGCAATTAAAAAAAGCTCTATTTCAAGCATAATCAGTAACTAAAGTTGAATTTCAAATTGTCACAACTCAAAATGAGTCTGATACCCCAGAGACTGAACCAAAGGTTGTTCTAGACCAAGATAGGCATTCCAGAGCTAACTGGTTAACGAAATTCAATTCCGAGTGTGTTTCCTATGAAAGTGGACTAATGCCAAACTTTTTGCAACACTCAAAAATTAAAACGTCTAATCGTACCAACTCCAAACGGAAGCCTCTAAACATGAACCAGTCATTACACTAAACCAAAATGATCCTTACAGAGCCGATGAAACTAACGAAATTCTAATCCAACATCAGAATCTTTGGATGCTGACTAAAGTCAACTCTTTCAAACCATAAGCTTCCAAAACTCAAAATCTCGCACCAAACAATACCAAACACCACGAGAAGTGTGTCATTCAACCCAAGACCACACGAAACACATAAGAAAGCTATGGAAAGGGGAAAAACACGCATAAAACACACAAATGACCTCGAGGGTCATTACAGTAAATTACACATCCATTTTATTATTTTACATTTAAATGTATATTAGCTTACAACAAATCAAATAATTAATAAATATCAAATAAATCACTATCAATTTTTTCTCTATAACGCACTGCCAATACAATTTATTTATTTATTTTTAGTTATTTGCTATTTATTTTATTTAAATTTGCCATTGCTTAATTTCTTAATTGCTTAATCATATCAATACAAATTACTTAGTTATTTGTTATTTACTTTATTGTTTTTAGCAATTGATATTTATTTTATTTTAATGTGTTGTTTATATAGTTGATTATTTTAATGGTTATAACAAATATTACCTCACTAATTATTTTTGGAACTAGAAAATAAAAATTAGCTCACTAAAATATATTGTAATCCCGGGATATACTAAACTCTACATAACAAATACCTACATAACTAATATCTATATTACTAATACATGCATAACTCTTACAGCTACCAAATGACTCTTAAAAACATGTGATATAAGTCAATTTATTTAAGACTTAAGTCATCAATAACCACTTAAAGTTGTCCGCATATTTCACTTAGACACCTCAACGAATCTTGTTTTCTATTAAACATTCAAATCTTAATAAATAAGTACCTATTAAATATTTTTCTAACAACTAGTCAAAAAATTGCGCGTATCACACACGTAAGTGATGTGGCAGAATAACAGATTAAACAATGACGTATGACATTTTAACTTAAAATAATCATAAAAATGAATTTTGAACACAAAAAAAAACTAAATAATAAAAGAGTTTCAAATAAATAAATATATATTTATACACCCTCACCCTATCCACCTGCACTCTATCCACCCGCACCCTACCCCTTTTTTCTCTTTTCCTAAAACCCACCTCTAGTTCACCATCGTTTTGCCACCAATGTAAGTGAATAATCAGAAACAAAGATTTACACTACAAAGAAAAATGAAGTTGATTTTACATTTTATCTTTAAGAGCTTTTATTTCAGATCAAATAATTCTAAAATGTTTATTTTTCTTTTACTCCCTTTTGGGTATGAATTTACAAGTGAAAATTTTATTTGTTTCCCTGGTTTATAACACATAATTCAGAAACCAAGATTAAAACTAAAATTGGAAATTAAAAGTAAAAATCTAATCTTAAAAGCTACTTTTATATCAGTTGTTCAAAAAATTGATTTTTCTTTTTTGGATCTATGAAACAGAGGTGTGAATTCATCTACAACATGTACAACGCTGAATAAATACCAGCAAACAATTTGACCCAATACTGAAATTACTCCACTTTCCGTTATAGAATTTGTTCTACAAAAATGATCGAAAATGGGTGAATGAGTAGCAGTAACGAAAAAGAGAATAAGAGAAATAAACTTTATTAAGGAAGATTTAAAGAGTTAAATTCTTTTTTTGTATGTATTCAAAAGGTCAGTTAAAAGTATATTGTAAATTTTTGGTGGTAGACTATGGTGTGAGATATTAAAAAGAATTTTTGTTGAAAATGATGTTAAAATAAAGTATGGAACACACTTTTTGTGCCAAGTGTCACAGACTTAGAGTCTTACTAAAGCTGCGTGCGGCACTTGACAACTTACTCACAAATCTTTCACGATCTTGTAAGCTCAAGTAAGCCTTTACGACTAAGATTGCTAAGAGAATGAAAAGGAAGACTTAGAGAATTTTGGAAAAAGGCTTATATTGCTTGGAATAATGCTTTACAAATTGCTTGAAGGCTTACAACTTTTTTGGTGCCTAGCAAAATGAGGGGCACCTCTATTTATAACAACTCCTAAGGACTAAGGTGCAAATTAAAATTACTTTCTAAGTTCTTAAACTTATTTACACAAAGGTCCCTTTCTAGAATTCTCTACACACTCTAGAGAATTCTAAGGCTTTCTTGGAAAATATCTAAGTTATTTTAGAGAATTCTAAGCCTTCTTGAATCATCCAAAAGGTTCTAGAGTTCTCTGCAAACCTCTCCACAACTCTAGATCCTTCCGTTCCTATTCGAACGCAAAATTTAACTGTGATGTGGCGGAACGTGACACAAGTGTCTAAATGAATTAGCTGATAATTGAGTAACGTGGCATATTAGGCATAAGCATCGTTTTCAATCTCACAAAAACGGCAACTCCAAGTGTAGGCAGTACGCAGTACGCAGTACGATCCCACAAATCTCTTCATTTTCTAACCGTCTCGTTCTTCTGCATAGTTCTCTCTTCTTTGCTTCGGTTTTTAGGGTTTACAACAACAGCAATTCATGGAGGAGGAACCAGTGGTTTCGGAAACAGCGAATCGTCGTACGGTGAGTTTGGTTTACAATTTCAACAGTATTCAACTGATTAAGTTAATAGTTGAGACGTAATTATTGAGTTAATGGTTTACAGAAACGAACGAGAGCTCAAACTAGGGTTAACGAAGAGCAATTACACAGCAGTGTGAATGAGGAAGAGAGAGAAGAATCGTCCGAGGACTTTGAAGACTCTCGTGCTAGAGCTAAGCGGAGTAAGGCTTTAGGAGGCACTTCATCTGCTGCTGCTGCTGCTAGAAATGCTCATCAGAGTTTAATTGGTATTATAAATTTTGTCTGCTGTTTTCTAGGTTTTGTTACAATAGTTTTGATGTTTAATTTGAATTTGAGAATCTATAGATTTTTAGGCTTTGTTTCTCGATTGTTGGTAGCACATTGGAAATTATGGTCTTCTAGTTTGCATGTCATTCTGAAATTTTATTATGTTGAATGGAGGAATGGAAGTTGTGGTCTTCTAGTTGGACTAATGTTCTCTAGTTTTTATTATTGCAGTTTGAGATTATATAGAAATTTTAGGTTTGGTTTCCTCAATTATTGTTGAAAGCATGGGTGGAAATTATGCTAGCTTTTGGTTTCTAGTTTGTATTGCTATGGTACTAGCAGATTATTTTTGAATATTGAGACAAGCAATGTTAGGCTTGTGCTATCGGATAATGTTGAAAGTGCTAATATGGAAGTTGTGGTCTAGTTATCGTAGTGTTATGTATTGTTCTTTTAATTTCAGGTATATTTTGAAGATTCAAACGAAAGAAATTTTGGGCTTACACTAGTCGATTATGTTGAAAGCAGACATGGAATTATCTTTTAGTTGATTAGTGTTGTGGTGCTTTCATTACAGTGATTTCAAGTTAATTCTGAAAGTTACTAGAGAAGTTTTAGCTAGCGTTTGGCCATAGATTTCCAAATTTTTTTGGGAAATATTATTTGGGTGAAAATTTCACCATGTGTATGGGAAATATATTTAACCTTTTTAAGAAATATGATTTATACCCATAAGTTTTTAAAACTATCAAAACTAACAATAAGTTTGTATTTCATGTGCTTTTGTATTACATGGCACATGAGTTTGTTATCCTAAGCCGATTGTTCATCATTTTCATCAATAACCATATCATCACTTTCATATTCACTATCACTTTCATATTCATTGAATATTCCATTACTACTTTGATGTTCACGTAAAAATTTATGTAAAACAACACAAACAACTATTATAGAGGGAGTTCTTGTAAAAGATAAAAGTTTGGTGTAGAATTTGAATTATTAAAAGTTCCCAAATAATGAGACTTGGCCCAAATACTAGTTTTTTCTAGTATTGGGAATTTGGGTTATTTGCCAAAAATATTTGCCAAATAATGACAAATTGTATGGACAAACACTATTTGCCAAATTTTTGCCCAGATTTTACTTGGGAAATCTATGGCCAAACGGGTCCGTAGTCTATCACTACTCAATATATAGAAAGCGTGAATGGAGGTTACAGGAATTTCAGATTAATTCTGAAAGTTACTAGAGAAGTTTTAGTCTATCGCTACTCAATATATAGAAAGCGTGAATGGAGGTTACAGTGATTTCAGGTTAATTCTGAAAGTTACTAGAGAAGTTTTAGTCTATTGCTACTCAATAGATAGAAAGCGTGAATGGAGGTTGTGATCATTTAGTTTGACTATGTTATGTAATTTTCCATTATGACATTTAAGTTCAGTTTTGGTAATTCAAGAATCTATGGAATTTTAGGGTGTGCTACCCAATTATAATCGAAAGCGTGAGTTAAGTTATATCTTTGAGTTTGGCTGCTGTGCTATAATTTTAATCATGGTAATTTTAGGTTAATATTGAATTGATGACTTTGAGAGTGTAAAAGCTTTCAATTTGCTTGCTGAAAATGGTCCTTTAAATGTCTGTAAATTTTGTAATTTACAATAGCAAGTGGCAGAATTTGATTCATTATTGCATTTTGTTTCCACCCATTGAATGAAATGCCAATCTCGTCCACTAATTTTTGGACAAATGTGAAACACTCATCATTATGGGCATCCTGTTGGTGAAGAAAATGCTGTAGGATTCTTATTTTGTCTTTATATCTACTTTTGTGGAATTTTTGGGAAACATTTTTTGTACTTTACACTTTGTTTGGAGGTTGTTACATAGTGTTTCATTATGTATCATTTGTATCAAAATATCAATCTGATTGTTCCTCCTGCGGGAGTTTGCAATCCTTTGAAAATATTTGGTGTTTCTATCACCCTCCTTAAGCCATAAACACTTGGATTTTTGCCTCCATTATACTTCTTCAGCCTTAGCAATCTGTTGTAGTTCCATTTTTAGGACCATCATCTTGTCTTTTTCTGCTTGGGATGGGAGCCTCTTTTCGATTGCCTGCTCAATAACCATAAGTTCATCCAGTGCTTTGCTCTTTCTGGTTTCCATCTTGCCAAAGATTTCTCTGTTCCAGTCAGTGATATCTTTTTTAAGACATCTCAATTTCTGAGAGAAAATAAAATCTGGACTACCCTTGATAGAGTAGTTCTGCTACCATTCTTTAATTTTATCCAAGAACCCCTCCTCTTGCAACCACATGTTTTCAAATTAAAAATAGGAAGGATTGTCTTCCCAGTCACCATTTTCCAAAAGTACAGGTCTATGGTCTGGAATAACTTTTAGAAGAGCAATGTGTTTTACAGCTTTAAAGGTGTCACTCCATTCAGGTGATGTCAAAAACCTGTCTATTCTAGAGGCTTGAATAGAATATTCTCCTCGGGACCAAGTATAGAAAGCATCCTGTAAAGGGAGGTTGATTTAAGTTCAGATTTTGAATGGTATCTGAGAAGCTTTTCATGACTTTTGATCTTCGGATGCAGTTATATCTTTCACTTTCAAATCTGCATACATTGAAATCACCACCGATGACCCTACTGCTCATTCCAGATACCTCTAATTACTGCAAGTTCGAGCCATAGTTCCTCTTTTCTGGATTAGAATGAGGGCCATAAACACCTTTGAAACACCATCGGAATTCTTCTTGAGAACTTTCTAACATACACGAGAGAGTGTATGAACCTTGTTGTATATCAATGCAATCCCACAGCCTTTTATCCCAAAGAATTACTATCCACCCCTACTACCACTTGCTTTGAGCTCAGTCCAACCAGTCCATCTATTGCCCCACATCTGTTGAATCATCTGTGACGACCAGTCTACTATTTTTGTCTCCTGCAGGCAAATTATGTCTGCTTTTCCATTTACCCATTAAAGATTTCACTGAACTTCTCTTAGCTGCTTCATTCAGCCCACACACGTTCCAACTGATAATTTTTAATTTCATTTAGAAAGAGCTTTGTGAAACCTGCCCCTATCTTCCTTTGCCATGCCCTCATAATTTAAACCACATTTTAGCCTTTCTAGCTCGAGTTCACCTTTTCTCTGTGACTTTTTTGCTGAACTTCCTTCAGATTTTTGTTTATTCAATTGCAGCTGCCTCTTATGTTCCATGCGCAAGATCATGTCCGGGATTTCATGCTCAAATCCCGTTATATTAACCCCAAAAGCCTTGCATGCCTTGACCATCACTGTTTTGGTCCACCTGGAAGTTTCAATTACTGTTGGATTTTGAATTTCAAACACATAGCCACAATCAAAGGCCTTCTGTGATTATTCCATAAGAAATACTCATTCCTCCTTGAAAAGTCACTTCAGCTATGCCTTACCAGTCCAAAAAAAAGTCACTTCAAATAATCCTTTTCTTTGAAGGTGACTCACTTCCTATTCAAGGAATGAAACCATCAGAAGCTATACTAGTCAGTTTGTTTTCTTGTGCTTGCTTGCTTCAATTCCTCGTTACCTGATTCTAATTAGATTTTACTTTCTCTCTGTTGAATCCTTTTTGTGTATATCTATTGTGGTGGTTTACACATGCTGATGATAGGACATCCATTCCTTTATTTGCAGATGTTGTTAAAGGTGATAGGAGACGAATTCCTCTAGTGGTCAAGCATTGGGTGGAACACTATGAGAAGGATCCGAAAGCTGCAATGGCTGGACTATTGAGCATGATGTTTGAGGTAATTTGATAATATGTGGATGTTTCTTTAGCTTGCATACTATGTTTTTCCCATCTCCACATATCAGCCATAGACAGGTTCCATTTTGATGATGTGACATGATAGGTGAAATTTGTGGTTTTGCAGGCATGTGGAGCAAAATATCATATTGAAGAAGATTTCTTGGACCAAACCGATGTTGATGATGTTGTAGTTGCTCTTGTAAACATGGCTAAGAGGGTATATTCATCCATCATATTGATGATATTTCCTTATTTAATATGTTATTTGGCGTCACTTTGTATGTTGTTGTTGTAATATGTTATTTGGCATCAGTTCAATATGCATTAGGCATGAACTTTCTGGTTGGTGTTATTATTTGGCGTCAGTTCAATATGCATTAAACAGGAACTTCATGCATAGACATGCAATTCTAATTTTACCTGATCTCCTTTGGATGTTAGGGTGAAGTTGAGGATTATCAAACTTCAAAGAAGAAGGACTTCAAGACCTTCAAAGATAACCTCGTCTACTTCTGGGATACACTGGTTGCTGAATGTGAAAATGGACCACTTTTTGATAGGGTCTTGTTTGACAAGTGCATGGATTATGTGATTGCGCTATCATGGTAAGTAGCTTGTATGTCGGTATTCTAAATTTAAGGTAATATTTTGGCTCATTGTCTTGTGAACATGCATTTCAGCACTCCTCCTAGAGTATATCGTCAGGTTGCTTCATTAATGGGGCTTCAACTTGTTACATCCTTTATACACATTGCCAAAGTACTTGGTTCACAGCGGGAAACCACACAGAGACAGCTAAATGCTGAACAGAAGAAGAAAGTGGATGGGCCTCGAGTTGAATCACTAAATAAAAGATTATCCATGACACATGAAAAGATAACAATAATAGAGGAGATGATGCGGAAGATATTTACTGGGTATGCACCTTATGTTAATGATACATATTTTTGATTACTTGAGGGGCATTTTTAATTTTGTTTTGCCTTTTTGTATGCTGAAATTTGTAGGCTATTTATGCACCGTTATCGAGATGTCGAACCTGATATCAGAATGGCATGCATACAGTCATTGGGTGTCTGGATCCTGTCATACCCCTCCCTGTTTTTGCAGGATTTGTATTTGAAATATCTCGGATGGACATTGAATGATAAAGTAAGTGGATGTCAATTTGATTTTATCTTCAATCTTCAGTTGTTAAATTGAAAATTCTAACGATGCATTTGGCTCTTAATTTTACCCTCTTAAGAGTGATGGTGTAAGGAAGGCATCAGTTCTTGCACTGCAGAATCTTTATGAGGTGGATGATAATGTACCATCTCTTGGCCTTTTCACGGAGAGATTTTATAAAAGGATGATCGAACTTGCTGATGATGTTGATATTTCTGTGGCAGTATGTGCTATAGGACTTGTGAAACAACTGATAAGGTAATTTCTTGACAATGCAAGCCTCTTGCATTTTTAATATTGTTACCAGCAGATTGTTGAAATCTGCTCTTTTATCAAGTTATTCATATTTTGCTGACATCTTTTTTTTTCTTTTGATTGCAGACATCAACGTGTTCCCGAGGAGGAATTAAGTTCTTTATATGATTTGCTAATTGATGATCCACCTGAAATCAGGCGTGCCATTGGAGCTCTAGTGTATGATAATCTGATTGCCCAGCGATTGAACAGTTCACAATCTAGTTCAGGTTTTTATCACATTGTTCTGCATCCTGTGCTGTGCTTTCTATTTGCTTGATTGATTAATACAAGTGTACTGATAACAAAAAAATTCCAGGGGATAATGCTGATTCTTCTGAGGTTCATCTTAATAGACTGTTGCGCATATTGGGAGAGTTTTCAAAAGACGAAATGCTGAGTATGTATGTCATCGATGATATTTGGGAGTATATGGACGCCATGAAAGTACGTTATGTACACTATCTTTTAATCTAAAGAATGGAATTGCTATGACCATATGATATCTGTAGTTTGGTTAGAGTAGTATCTCCCTACAACTTTCAATGAGCCTAGTCTTCTAGTGGCTCAACTTTGTTTTAAAGACGTTATAAGTTGCTGTATAATTTTTGAATTTGTTCAGTATTTCCCTATGGTTTTTAGTATTAATGCTGTAATACAATTATCTGTAGTTTGGTTAGACTAGTATTTTCTACAACTTGCCTTTATAGGCATTTTCTATTTATATTGATTTGACAGCTATATTCCTATTTTATCATAGGAGAACTTAAGAAGGGTCTCCTTATCCTGGATACCTGAGTGTGTTCTGTGGTTGAGGAAAATATTCACTTGAAAATTATGTCCTTACAGGATTGGAAGCGTATCCTGTCTATGCTCTTGGAAGAAGAGCTATCAGCTGAACTAAGTGATGTAGATGCAACAAACCTAATTCGGCTGCTTTTTGCGTCCATTAGGAAGGCAGTTGGAGAGAAGATTGTTCCTGCCAGTGATAATAAAAAACAATATTATACTAAAGCACAAAAGGTGAGGTTCTTTTGTTCTTCTTGTTGATACTCTCTGAGACCCTTAATAAATGTTATATTTGTGCTTCAAACTTCACCATTTACACCTGAGAATGGATTCCAAGAAAGTTCTTGTGAAACAATAAGTTGGTGATATTTCTGCAACCTGGTAGATCTGTACTGTTTTAGCAGTTTCTTGAACTGTATGCTTGTCTTAAATGAGGTCAGGTGGTCAAATACATCCAGATTACTTGCTAGTATTAGTCAGTGGAAGAGGTGCCATTTTCGTATATTATCATGTTACCATCTTTAACATTTTTATAACATCATTAAGACGTTTTATTATACTTGGAGTTTGATAATATAGTGAGCAGTCAGATTATTTTCATGTACCATGGAACATAGATGGTAACTCTCTGTTTGCTCAATGCTCAGTAGGGACATCATTCCAAGCTGTACGCAGAATGAGTATAGATGCTGTGGTTTTGATTTTTTGCAGTCATAGAGTTTCACCTCAAGTTCAAAATTTATTTAGATTATTTTAGATAGGTTCCTTCTTTAGTGTTCTTTGTCAATGACAAATTATATTGGTGTTGTTCAGCCATACTACTACGGGATACTGAATTCTTTGAATGCTTATATTGTAATCGGCAGGACGTGTTTGAAAGTTCTAAGCGTGATATAACCATTGCTATGATGAGGAATTGTCCACAGCTTCTTCGCAAATTTATGTCTGACAAAGCAAAAATTCCCTATCTACTTGAAATCATTGTTCATATGAACCTTGAGCTCTATTCTCTTAAAAGACAAGATCAGGTGTGTTTGTGGAACTTATTACAATCATGAACTATATAGGGGATTGCCTATTATGAAGTTATTTTTTTTTGAACTGGTAACTAAAAGCTGTTTTCTTTTGCTTTTTTAGAACTTTAAATCTGCTGTACTTCTGATGAAAGAAGCATTTTTCAAGCATGGTGAGAAGGAAGCTCTGAGATCTTGTGTAAAAGCTCTGAACTTCTGTGCTACTGAGAGTCGTGGGGAGTTACAGGACTTTGCCCTTAACAAATTGAAGGGGATTGAAGATGAGCTCATTATCAAACTTAAATCTGCAATAAAAGAAGTTGCTGTATGTGCCCTTGACAAATTGAAGGGGACTATGTGTTTTATTGATGCATTTTGGTTAAAATGTACAATTTTTGTTGTTGCAGGATGGTGATGATGAATATTCAATGCTTGTTAACTTGAAAAGGTTGTATGAACTTCAATTGTCAAGGCAAATTTCCATTGAAAGCTTGTATAACGATCTTGCAGAGACTCTCAAGAACTTCAGAAGTATTGATGACGAGGTGGGTATACTGTAGTTTGAATAATACTTTTTTGTAGTCTTGCCAATACACAACTACTTTGGCTTACTGTTCAGGTAATTGGATTTCTGCTTCTTAACATGCATCTGCATGTTTGCTGGTGCCTACACTCTATCATCAACTCTGGCACAGTCCTGGAACAATCTATATCTTCCTTAATCTCAAAACGCAGTGCCTTGTTTGAACTACTTGAGTCCTTCCTGACTACTAATTCTCCAGAAGGTCTTCGTGCAAGTCAACTTGCATGTAGGGTAAGCATTATTTTTAAATATCTACATCCGACCATGTGTAATTTCCAAACATCTATGTTCACCTATCTCCTGTTAGTGCCATCTATGTTCTCTTTTGGTTAATTGGGTTTGTTGTTTTTCTTGGTCTAGATTTGTGTTATTTTTTCAGAACAGTGGTGTCTGTTCAGGAAAGCAACCTTTGCATCCACGGAAATAGAAGCTTTGGGGTACTCTCCAGATGAAGCCATTCTTCAAAAGTTCTGGAAGCTTTGTGAACGCCAACTACATATTCCAGGTGGTTTTTGCTCTCCCATTCACTGTTTTCTCTAAATGTGTGGCAGCTCTAGCTCACATCTTACAGCTGTATAGAGGAATAATAGTATGGCTCTAACACTATTATTTATCTATAACTGTAGAAAAGCGTGCATCTAGAACAATTACTTTTAGTATCATGCTTCTTATTATAGCACTTTTAAATAGTGTGCTTTGATGTAAACTTATCATCATTGCCATGGTTACTGTGAAAACACTTTGGTTCTTGAGCAGTCACATGAATTTGAATGCGAAATGTGTACTTTTATTGAATTCATTTGTTTCCTCATATGCTATATCTTAATTGAAGGAATGTGTTGTTGCACATTGGTTTTTATTTTTGTTATGTTCTTGTTGTGAAGCTTGATTTTCAAAAGGAAACTATTTTGTGCATCTTTTTCCTAGCATTACTTCTTAGGTAAGGATCTAACTTTACTTTGTCTGTTGGAAAGAATATTAAGAAACTAAAGTGTACATCTGCTCCCGACATAACCAAATACAGGAGGAAAATAACTGTTTCACTTCCCTATTTTGCAATGTAAGCACTCTTATGTCATGAAGAGTGAAGATTCACGCAAAAATTTCATTAATATAAAGTCAACAAAAAAAAGATACTGCAAAAACTTGAGCACCTAATCTGTCGAGTTGTGGAAAATAGATCTCTATGGTCCACCCAGAGGTGTCAACGAAAGAATAAGAGTCTTTAACTTGACCAAAAAAGTGTTTTAAGCTTCCAGAACATCATAAATAAGTCCATAACTTATCCATTCAATCCCAGAAAGGGTTTCTTTCTGCACATGAGGGATGTCTTTTGAGACTTTCGTTCATCTTCTAACATGGATACAGATGAGGCTGAAGAAGAAGATTCTAATAGGGAATACATTGAGGAGACAAATCGAGATGCTGTAATCATTGCTGTTGGGAAGTTGGTTGCTGTTGATGCAGTTCCTAAGGTTAGGTGTATTCTCTTTTCATAGTTGGACTTTTCTATACTTAATTCCTAGCTGTACTTCTTATATTGATTTTGGCAATACTTTTTTGTATTACTGCACTATCATTTAGAAAGCAAAGATTCAGAGGCATACCGTTAATTATCTTTATCAGGTTCTAACATATTTCATCACTGTAATATCTACAGGAATATCTTGCTCCAGAGATACTATCTCATCTTTCAATGCATGGGACAAGTGTATCTGAGGTTATTAAGCATTTGCTAACCGTGTTAAGGAATAACGGTGCAGATGTTGCATTTTTGTTCCTAGAGGCACTAAAAAGGGTGAGCATCACTACTTGTTAACTGAGATGATTCCTGTTTTATTTTTGTCACTTGGCAGGTTGGCCTTCCAATTTCTTGTGAGCTTTTTGATGAAATTGCAGAAAATTCTTACTTCAAAATTCGATAATGATATGGTTAAAATGTTTGGTTGACTGAGTGTATAAAAAAGGGGAGCCCGGTGCATGAAGCATCCCCATTCACGCTGGGTCAGGGGAAGAGCAACCGTCAAAGGGGGGGGGGGGGGTTTGTTTGTAAGAAGCCTACCCTGACCCAAGCATCAGTGACTGGTTCCACTGCTTGAACCCGTGACCTATAGGTCAGTCACACGGACACAACTTTGCCATTGCTCCAAGGCTTGTCGGTGTATATTATTCATGTTCATGGGGTGTGTTTGAGTTGGTTGTAGTTATAATTCAAGGAGCTAGGATGGACAAATGCCATGCTTATAACAAAGATGCATATCCTTGTTTGCTATTTTGCCCTGAAAGATGCATATCATTGTACGTTGATTCTAGCCCACTTGAGATACCACTCAGTCCCGTCTGTTTATTGGCTATAGGTCAAATCTAATGTTTTATGGTACAACTGGGTAGAGAGAAGCAGAATATGATGTCGGGGGTCCCGCTCAATGAGAAGAGCTTGGATTGGATATGCTTTATTCTCAAAGAAGCATCATCTGATCAGAAAAATCTGGTGAGAAGATGGAGACATAAACACCAGGTCGCAGAATATTTTGGTACCAGGAAACACAACTCTCATGGGAGGTGTATGTGTATCTTATCATTGAAGGGAGAGGCCAGATCAGTTATCAACGTATCATTGTTCCAGAAACAGGCATTAGTGCAGTATGGAGAAGTGTAGCATTTAAGATGGAGAATTTCATTAAATGCTCCCCACAGATGTCTGCCAAGGCTTCCTTCAGGGCATATGACATTAATGTGGTTTATGCAAAAGTCGTTGAGGATAGTAAATGGCAACCAATACCAGCCCAGTGGAAACCACAAATAAGGGTAAAGTGGTTAAAGCCACTGCTGCTGTCAAAAATGGAGGACAAGGTCTACTTGGAAGATGCATCTTTTGGTCCTTCAACATGACAAAGTCTGATATCCCCTCTTCATCAGATGTTTGAATCATCAACAGTTTGGAAGAAGGTTTTTGGGGTTAATATTTATGAGATGGGTGCCTGTTTTCTATTTGAGTTCCCAAACAGAGACATGGCAGAGCAAATTCTCCAGGGAGAATGGATTTGGAAAAAGAACAAAGTTAAACTAGAATTGTGGAATCCTTCTACAGGATGCGTGCCAGCCTCGTGCAACCCAAAACCAAATGAATTAGGGCAATGGGTCTGGCCCTGCACCTATATTCAAATGAGACTTTCCATGAGATTGGAGATTTATGTGGTGGTTGGAAACCGACGGAGGAGGAAGCAGAGCTAAGAAACCATTTCAAGTGGGCTAGAATCGAAGTACGAGGTGATGGTCGGTATTTCCCAAACGAAGTAACCATCTCTAGAGATGAGTCAACTTCTTCATCCCGATCTGGACTGAGGAAAACTCGATTCAAGCTAATTCCGACGAGCAGCAGAGAAGTCATCGGAGAAGAAGAACTGGAACAACAAAGAACCTAGCTGGTAATAGATCCTTCGAGGATGTAGGGATGACAGATGTTGGGGAGACCCACGTGGGTACAACTGTAACAATTTTTAAAAATAAGGCTGGGAAACACATGCAGGACATGTACTGGATTTAAAGATGGTTTTGGACCTCAAGTATTTTGTGCCTGATCAGGCACAAGTCATATTTAACAACATAAACCCTAGACCGCTGATGATTATTTCCATGAAGCAATTCTAGAAGAAATATCGGCAGTTTATTTCTCTGATCGGTGCATGCAACAGGAGAACACAACAACACTGGATAATCTGGCAATCAGTGGAGATCAACTGTGAATTGAAAAAGAGAAGGGGGAAAATGAAGCTGGACTTCTTTGTAAGCAAACCCAGAAGAATCTGTAAGTGAAGAGCAGGCAGAGATAATTCTAGATATCTCTCGAAATCAACAATCACAGCTGGAGATGACAAATACTGGGGAAATCGGGGACGTGTAGGAGGTTGAACCTCCTTCATTCAGCAACAAGAATCTCTACTTGATAAGGGGATGAACGCAACAATGTGGGTTCAACAAAATTTACTCAAACTACACAAGATGTTTGGAATGTTAGGGAGTTCAATGATTTGGGGAAAGGGAGAGTGGTGCAGAGTCTGATTCAAGATTGGAAAACAGACGGTCTGCCTCCAAGAAACAAAGTTAGAAGGGAATGTGCAGGATATAGTTAAACAGATATGGGCAGGGAGATGGATCAGATATGCATTTTTGGAAGCTAGTGGCAGGAATTCTTCTCTTATGGGATGCAAGAGTATGGAAAGAACTTTATCAAAAAGAGTATGGAAAGAAGAAATTTTATAGGTTGAAGCGTACACTCTATCCTATAACTTCAAGGCCCAATTAAATGATTTTGAATGCCATATCACTGATGTGTATGCTTCTAACAGAAAATTGGAAAGGAGACTGGTATGAAAGGAATTAGCTGACGTCAAAAGTCTAATGGAGTGGCCATGGCCTATCTGTGGTGAATATGGTCAATTTAATATATAT